TTTTTTTTTTTTTTTTTTGGGGGGGGGGGGGGGGGGGGGAAGGGAGTCTGGCTGACCACCGCCATCGTCCTTTGTCACCATCCACCATCATCGTCATCACTACCAACCACCATCATCATTGTCCATCACCACCCACACCCACCAACGCCACCGCCACCGACGTCACCCATGACTATCACTACCACTAGCGTCATCCAAAAGTCACCACCACCATCACCGTTGGCACTCACAGGTGTCACCACCGCTATGGTCATTGTTGTCTACCACAACCATAACTGTCTCCCACCATCAACACTGTCGCCCACCTATACAATTGGTGCTTAAATTTCTTTCTTGCTATTTTATATTTGTGATTTGATTTTGAATACGAATACAAATATGTTTATGATTCATAATTTTTTTTATTATCCTGTACCTTAAGGCATGGGCAATAATTAGTCATGCATATTCCTACTCATTTCATTTCATGGCACAATAATATAGGAGAAAACATTGATAATGGTCATAAGGTAGTGAAATTTCTTGACGGGTAAATCTAAGAATTTGAGAAAACCCGTGATAGGAGTTCTCCAGAAAAGTTTCTAAACTTGTTTTGGTTTGGGTTTGATACGAAAGTCTAACTATATTGCATTACTAGAATTCATGTTGCGTATTTTAACGTCCTTACTTTACTCACGGTACAATCTACTTCCCACCAAGCTTCCTTTCTTCTTGTGGGCTACCAGAGCAAGGTGATATTTNTACTCACGGTACAATCTACTTCCCACCAAGCTTCCTTTCTTCTTGTGGGCTACCAGAGCAAGGTGATATTTAATGAAAAAGAGGATTTAATAAAGTATAAGTGTGATTAGAGTAGTTAAAGCCAAATAATTTCTTTAAAAATACTCGCAACCAAATTTCCGATCATTTAACCTATGTTTGGAAATAGTGTGGGATATTTCATTTGGGCCTGTTGAAGGCCCATTGTGGGTTTTCTCTGGTGGGTTAAATTTGAGGCAATGAGATTTCTCGGCAAAAGACTATTGCATCTTACTTTTCAAAAAATTAGGTTATCTAATGGATATGATGATAAATTCTAATTAAAAACGGTTTCAAATTATTAAATAATTCGTAGGACTCATATAAATTTAAATGCATTTATCAAACATGAGATTGATTAGTTATGGATGCACTTTTTTTCAAGCTAATATAACAAATTTTATTAAATATGGTTGGATTAGAAAGGATTAAAAACTCCAATCCTAAACATTCTCAACCGACCATCCAAACACCACTAGGATTAGATTTGCATATGCAAATAATATAAGGAAAAATTACCAATAAGTCTGTACTTTTCTCC